TAGATGTTTACCAACGTTTCAGAGGTCATACTGCCTCCGTCATCAGAGTATGAAGATTTCTGTCTTCTGGGTTGTTTGGCTGTGTAGTCTGGTAGATGTTTACCAACGTTTCAGAGGTCATACTGCCTCCATCATCAGGGCGCCCTGGCGCTAGGGACTGACTGACTGTATAAAAGATCTTGGTTGGACACTAAGCTATACTTTCATTGCCATGTAAATTTTGTTCATACACAGACACTAAGGACCTTAGGGCTTATTCGTTTTATTACATATAATTTTTCCTCTTTAAATAGTCTTGTTGTTTTATATGATGTTTTAATTAGGTCTAAGCTTGAGTATGCTTCGGTTATATGGAACAATCTTACGCAGACAGATTCCAATAAATTAGAAAATATCTAAAGGAAATTTGCCAGTTTGAGCAATTACCGGTTTTTTCAGTTTAATATTACACGTATATATGAATTGATTGTAACTACTTTAAATTTCAGAACACTTTATACTAGACGACGGCATCTTATGCTTTATTTCTTATTAATGTATTTAAGGGCAAAATAAATTGCAATTCCATTATGGACACTGTTGGTATTTGTGTGCCGTCAAGGCAAATTAGAGAATTTTCTACGTTTAGTGTGTGCACTGCAACTTGGACATAGTCCTTCAGCCAGGTGTGTCATTGCTGCAAATGACGTATGAAAATTTTTGGACGTGTTTGGCATAAACATTGTTTCTTTTGAGGGCACTTTCTCAGTAAGAGAAATTATCTAGAGCAGTGGTATTCAACGTTTTTTGTTCGCGTACCCCCATATATAATTTCTCTTCAATTTTGTACCCCCAAAGTTGTTGGTGTATATTTCAAGTTATACATAGTATATAATCTACATCTAAAATAAATTAAATAAATTACATTACTGATTATTCAGTGTTTATCATAAAATAATATTTTTTTTTAAAATTTCACGTATCTCTAAGATGTCTTCGCATACCCCCAGGGTACCCCAGGTTGAATACCACTGATCTAGAGAGTGGCCTAGATTGGATCTAGCTTGGTTATT